ACGTTGCCAGACAACTTCTGACAAAGTTGCGCTCCTCCGACACCAAGGGAAACTATTGAATATGCAAATAACTAGCTCTCGGCTTGGGGTGAAGTTTCTGTCAATTTAGGTGGCGGCGTAGTAGTACAATGGGTAGTAATGGACTTGAATTTACTCGTGATGAAGAGACGATGGGCCCGCGGTGACAAGACAACAGTTCGGATCGAAGAACGTAATGACATTTACTGATGTTCAGCTTCATAGGAGGAAGACTGGACGATCGTACGACTGATAGTCAGGCTAGTTGAATGAAAATAATGAAGTGTCTAAGCACAAGGTCCATTCACAGACTAGTCCGGGAGCAAGCTTTTCGAGGCGCCGAGATGAGAATTAGACTGAGCCGCAGCGCACGGGTGTAGTGCGGCACAGCATGCTTTTTCCTAGCGCAGGTTACCTTGAATGCTTCTATCACCAGAAGCTCAAATAAAAAATAAACGAAGATTACAGAATAAACAAAGAATGGAGGACCAGTGGTTGCAAGATTGGCGGTTACAAAACAGATTTAAAGTTGCAATATTATCACATTTCATCGGTGGGTTCGGTATCGGCACGCATTGACGCTTTGGACGATAGATTGCTCTTGTTCCAAAATGCTCACTAACGACGCATGAATCCAAGCAGAATCATCCCTTGATGATTGAACATTTTCGCCATGCACGCACTGAAACGTAATGCAATGCTGCATTCACAAACACGATTTCAAAGGGATCAACATACAATTTTAAGAATGCTCGCGCCTCGGAGACTAAAAGGAAAAAACAAGCGATTGTAGGTATGCTCTCAGCCACAGTGTCGGCAATTGCACCAAAAGCTGGATGCATTTTATTCAGCATCAGAAACGATACCCTGGTTTTCCAATATCAGTCTTATCCCGAAGACCATAATTATGAAATTCACCACAATGCCAAAGCAAAGAACAGGAAACCCACTTCGTCCAATCGACGTAGAATTCCCTAACATTTCTGGCGAATTTCGTCGAGCGGTGAACGGTGGCGGCCCGGTGCTCAGAGCCAGCCCACACAAAGAAGGTGTCATCTATCGCCGGAGCTGGCGGCACCGGATTTCGGCAACGTCTCCTGGCCGGCTATGGTGAGATGTATGCGAGACGGTCCGAGCCGCACTGGTGCCGCCCTGGCCAGGTGTTCCGCCGCCGCCGCCGGGCGCCGCTGAAATGTGACGCCATTCTGGCGGTCAGGAGGGGCGGCGGTATGTGACAGAGGGTGGTCAGGAGGGGGAGGAGCGACGGTATGATGGCCGAGGGTCGGTGTAATAATGACGTTGCGCTCGGCTCGGTCTGCGATGATCTGTATGCCTCGGTGAATTCGCTGGCCAGAGAGGGTCAGCCCCACGGCTTTGGATACTTTGTTTCTTTCTAGGAATGAATCCGATTAGCCTGCTCCGCTATATGGCGACAGTAAATTATCGATTCACCTCCCAAGGAGCTTCACCGGTAAGATAGCGGTGTCGATTAGTTAGAAAAAAAAATCGTTATCGAACAGCCAGCGTGCCAGTCATGGTTAAATTAAGGTGCATGGAAGAGACAGAAGTGTGCTACATCATTCTCACATTCAATTTCGCGAATTGATTTGGGCCCCATAAAACAAGGAGAAAGAGAGATGATCAGAGAGAAGAAGAGGGCAGAAAGAGAGAGAGAAGAAGAAAGAGAGAGAGAGAGAGAGAGAGAGAGAGAGAGAGAGAGGAGAGAGAGAGAGAGAGAGGAGAGAGAGAGAGAGAGAGAGAGAGTAAATAGATTGAATGAACTAGGAAGTATTGAACATTGTTTTTAATTCAAAATCATCTGATGAGCCAGGTAACCGTCCAGTGCAGTGGGTAGAGACTCAACATCACTGAACCCGCCGTCTGGACCCAGTGCGTCGCCGTCTCGCCGCGGCCGCCCCAGGGGCACCGTGCCTCTCACCGGCACTTGGCGGCGACACCGCTGATGAGGTCTAATCTGCAAACAGGCCCGGTGCGCGACCCGGCCGCCTCCCCAGCCATGCATACCAGGCAGCCGAGGGCGGCGCTGCAGACGGCGGCAACTAATGGCGACACGCACACACACATACACAAGGTACACGAACCGGGGGAGGTGTCGGAGGCAGCAGACGAGGTAGCTCACCTGGAGAGCATTGAGCTTTGTATCAGTCTTTGTCTCTATCTGTCTCAGTCTGTTTCTGTCTGTTTCTGTCACCGATGTCTTCGTCTCTCTCTGTCTGTCTACCTCTGTCCCTGTCTCTCCTCTCTCTCTCTCTCTCTCTCTCTCTCTCTCTCTCTTTCTCTCTCTCTCTCTTTCTCTCCGTCTCTGTATGTCTGTCTATCTGTCTGTCTGTCTGTCTCTGTCTGTCTCTGCCTCTGTCTCTGTCTCTGTCTTTGTCCTCTCTATCTCGCTCTCTCTCTCTCTCTCGCTCTCGCCCTCTGTCTCTCCGTCTCTGTCTGTCTGTCTGTCTGTCTGTCTGTCTGTCTGACTGTCAGTCTGTCTGTCTGTCTGTCTGTCTGTCTCCGTCTCCGTCTCCGTCTCTGTCTCTGTCTCTGTTTCTGTCTCTGTCTGTCTCTGTCTCTGTCTCTGTCTCTCTGTCTCTCTCTCTCTCTCTCTCTCTCTCTCTCTCTCTCTCTCTCTCTCTCTCTCTTTCTCTCTCTCTCTTTCTCTCCCCTCGCCCTCTAAGTAAATAGCTAGTTTCACTCCTTCCGTTAAACTAAAAAGAAAACGCCACAAATGCGTTGAACAATGAACATATTGCTACTAGAATATTAAAATTTTTTTCCAATTAAATTGACTTAAGATATTATTTCAAGTGCAGCTATTTCAGCAAAATGTTGATTATAGTCTAATAGAATGCCTGTTTGGAATGACCTTCTTATCACCTACCAAAGAAAATGGGGCCGATCATGACAAAGCATCTCCGTACCATCAGTTGCAGCTTGTATGCGCTGGACGAGGGGGCAGCACGAGGAAGCTCATCGCGCTTCGTAGGGGGCAGCACCGACTTGTGCTGCTGCCTTTGGAACTACACATACCGTACTGCGATGGACTGTCAGAATAAGAGAAAACGCTAAAATAATCGGTGAAACCTGTTAGTTGAAACATGCCTCTAGGATTAACCCGGCGGCCGCTGGGCCTCCGCGCCACCCGCCGGCCGCTGGGGGGGGGGGGGGGCATAAAGTTGCCCCCCCTTTACTTCTGCGACGATATCGTCGCAACGCGAAGAGATAGAGAAGCGAAACTTTGCACACATCTTCCTGAATACCTAGCCGAGGTTGTGTCCAAATTTGGTGTCGATCCCATTTGAAATGACGTCACAGTGACGTCATAAGTGAAATTATAGATTTGCGACTCTCATATTCCTCACGATACATCACATATATGGGACCGAATATAAAGGGCCGATTATTGGTCAGAAACTAGATGGAAGTGTAGTAAGATGTTTTAGGATGACAGCAGGTGCTGTCCAGTTCATTTACAGTCGAGTTTCATGCTCAGCGTCATCAGAAACGGTCCATGTCGGAAAACGACAAAACTTCATGACGTCACTGTGACGTCATCTTAGGTGCTACAACCACCAAACTTTCCTCAAACATTGCTTAGGTATTCATTTGAAGCTATGCCAAGTTTCGCGTTCGTAGCTCATCAGGTTTCGGAGATATTTCACAAAACGTAAAGGGGGGGGCAACTTTATGCCCCCCCCCCCAGCGGCTCGTGGGTTAAGCCAACCGATTAGGTGCAAGAATCACGTTTAGGTCTGGTAGAAGGCTGGACCTTGATCTCCTATGTATGTGCAATAAGAGAAGGAATTCTTATCCTTTGGAGTAAAGATACTGAAAATAAGATATGCAAAGCAATGTTTAATGCTGCCAAAATATATAAACTATTATGCTTGTCATATACTGAGGTTCGTCTAAAAAGTGCGCATAAATTCAATGCCTCCAAAGTAATGATCCAAGCGGTCAAGCGACACATTGAAGGAATAGTCGGTGACGCCCAAGCCTGTCTCGGTCATAGCTAGACGTTGCCTGCCGATTGACGGTTGATAACCCCATTACCGGCTGTGTCGAGAGGCGCAGTATGAGTCAGTGATGCATGCGCGCACACTTCCTTGGCCTGGATTAGTTCAGTTGTCCAACGCATTGGACGTTTGAGGGTGGATGAGGCACTCGTATCCCGTGTAGGTTAGTTGACGACAGCGAAAACGGTGAGGTGCAATGCAGTACCTATTTGAGTATATCAGTTAAAAAATAATAATAAACGTACCTACTGCTGAACTAGTGATTCATCGGTCATTGGCATTTATTACTTTTATTACACTTCTTTCTCAATAAAAACACAAGTGCACAAGTGCACTAAAAACACAAGTGCCTGTTTATTGTGCATGTTAGTTTGAACTGTGAGTCTGTGTTACAGTGACATGCTGCAATTTGTCCCAACAGGACCGGCTGATGACGCATTTTTTGCAGTTGTTGACAAGCTATGCTATGCTCAAGCCATGCTCTTCGTACTGATCACAGAGTAGCTGAAGTGAGCAGTTGCAATATGATGTGTTGTGTTGTCCGATATGGCAACTTTGCACACAACTTTCTGTGAATCGTACCTTTGAAAAGACAAACACCCACCCGACACGATGCGCACAAAATATCATCTCCCCTCTCCCTCCCACACACACACATATGAACACAAGCAGCAAAATGAGAGAGAGAGAGAGAGAGAGAGAGGAGAGAGAGAGAGAGAGAGAGGAGAGAGAGAGAGAGAGAGAGAGAGAGAGAGAGAGAGAGAGAGAGAGAGACCGCGTCATCACCGACGACCGTCCAGCGCGTAACGCACCCACTCAAACACGAGCACAGCGACACTGCAGGTCACCGCGGCCGGTACGATCGACAGCACGGCCAGCAGGTCACCGAAGGTCATCGAGCGCGTCTCCGTGGACGGTGTGCACAGGTCACCCGACGATATCCACTGGCGCTTCACACGCTGCATGACACCCGCTTCCTTCATCCGCATCATGGCGCTGGTGATGGCCTGCCTCTCTCGGTCAAGGCCCTTGGCTACTAGCATGAAGTTACGCGCCTTGGGAGGCAGGTTGTCCAGCAGGGGTACTAGAGTACAGGCCTCGGTACCCAGAGCGTAGAACAGCTTGGTGATGTCGATGTAGGTGAGAACTTTGGGCTGGATGGTGCGGTGGACCACCTCCTTGGAGACGTCTAGCTTGACGTAGCCCTCCCCTGTGACAGTCCGCTCAAACAGCTCCCGTTCGTAGACGCTGCTGCTGGTTTTCCAGTCGTTCAGGACCCCGAGCCCTGGCTCCGCTGCCAGTACCCAGCCGCGCTGCTTGGAAAACTGCTCCAGACTGGTGATGGAACGCTCGGCCGTGGTGACAGTCAGGTGGGAGATCAGGTTGGCCGTGTACGTGCTGTAGATGAGCAGACCCAGCATCCAGCTGGAGAGAGCCACGGTGCGGGCGGCCGGCGAGCCGGGTGTATAGGCCCACCCCTGCGAGACGAATGTCATGAGGCTGGCGAGCAGACAGGCGCTCCAGCCCATCTCGGTCATCTGAGGGTTTGTCTCGCTGGTGGTACTGCCGACGCGGCAGGAGAGACGCAGCACCGCTGCGATGAGGAACAGAAAGGCGACCAGCGTCCACCAGACGTGTAGGTGTAGCGGCTGCCAGAGGGCGTTATACATGTCCAGCGTGAGTGGTGGCACCTCTCCGGAGCTCTGAGGCACGTAGAACGTGTACTGGTTCTGCTGCACCGGCACGGCTTCCACGTAGTCCACCACTGTGGCCCGGTCCTCGCGGAACAGCACCCAGGTGAGCGCCACGTCGGCCCGCCCGTAGGCTAGCTCTCCCACCATGCCCACCCATGTGCCGTTCTTGGCGAGACTGCCGTAACCTCCCGTCAGTAGGGGCACCATGCGGTACCGCAGGCACAGCTGGCTGGCCACGACCTGCCACAGCTGGAACAGGTAGCCGTCGTAGAGCAGCGAGCCGTCCTCCCGCTCAGTGATGATGAAGTACGGAGGGTCGTGGATGGCCGTCACTCGCAGCTCGCGCGTCAGACCCTCTCCGCAGGATCCCTTGAGCTCGGACAGGTTCTGAGCTGCTGGTCCAACAACTTCCATTCGATCCATGCTGCTGTGGCGAGATGTTAGATCACCGACTGGCAATGGAGTGGACTGCCGCGAATGGTGGCCAGCGCTGTACTGCCCTGGGCTGTCCTTCCGTGAACGACTACCAACGCTGTACTGTCGTGGACCAGGGTGGCGAACTGAAGTGGAGTGGGCTGCTCTGGACAACGACCAACTGTGGACTGATAGCAGACGCCGATCAGCACTGACCTGTTGTCACCTTATATCTATGGTTGTCACCAACTGCCGCGAACGGCTCCTACCTTACTCTTCTGCTTTCCGCCGTCCTCGTTCCAAGCTGGTATTGGGTCGAGTGCCTGCGGAGACACTTCACATCACCGTTTGTTTATCCAGCCCAGTCTCCTGAATGGTGGACCGACCAATCGATCGCCAATGAATGACGTTCTCACACGTTCCGATGCATTGTCATTTGGACAGTATATTGGAGGCACGTCTGCGGGCTCAATTTATCACGCAGCTGTCAGGTTTCGAAAGCACGTCAATAAACTGCCGAATGGCTTAATTATTCATACACGCACTGGCGTTCAGAGGATGCGATAAATTCTGTTTCAATTGACTGCCATTCAGACGTTGCATTGGCCTGTACCCACGTGTATTGGTAATTGAGCAGCAAGAGGCAAGCATATTTCAGGTATGTGACCCTAATGTTATATATAAAATAGCTAATAATAATTTTGTAGCACAGGTATTGTATCTATTGTATTAGTTTGGTATGTCGAGGCAATATTTGCCATAATAATTTTTCACCGTTTTCTGTATCGTATAGCATTTTACTGATCATGATTAGACGATATTTAGAGTTAAACATAATACACTTCCACTGCGTGCCGCACTCCAAGGGAAGAGATACTTGCTTAGGCAGAATGGTCCACATTTTGTCGTTTAACGTGGCAAGTATTTGCTCGATCATAGCGGAGTCAAATGTTTTTTCTCAATCAACTCATAGCTTTATTTTCTAGACCTTCTTGGAAAGAAATTGGCCAAGCGTCTTGCAGCTCTCTGCATAATTACACCAGCTCTGCCTTCTGTCCTAGCCATGATCGCCATGCGGAAAGCCACACGCTGTCAAAGGAAAAGTTTAATAAAGCAAGCCAAGGCTCGAGCAATTGATGCCCGCCGTCGGCAGTAAACGGTCGATAGTTTAGCTCCCATGGTCCTTTTTCCTTCCTGCTTGATGTTCTTCGCGCCTGCGACGCACCAGCTAGCGCCGTCCAAAACGGACTACCGACTTTTAGCGTTCACCTAGAGAGACATCTTCAACTAAGGCCGCGTTCATCTGTCACATTCTCCAGGCTGTGCGCATCGCGTATGACGCAAAAATTACGTTCCAGAAAATAAAAGCACATTGAGGGGAGTTGAAAGCAAGAGTCGAATGGCGATTGGGAATGTTGATTACTTTTGTATGATGATTGACTCAACCCAGTTATATAAGGATGTTTAAGCGTGCTAAATGTTGCAGTGCCTTGGTCCAAAACCTGGGTAATGAAAACTTCTCTCGCTTATATTTGATACGGTGATGACAGATTTAAAGACCTGGATGCTCCATCCTCACACCCTCGTGAGCTGCTGGCGATTTGCAGACAATCGTGAAAAGGGTGCAGCTAATGTATTTCTTACTTAGTTAACCTGCGCCCCGTAGGGGGGCCGAAACGGCCCCCCCTGTCCTTTTCGGTCGATATCTCCTAAACGGCTGGAGATATCGCCACCAAACTTTCAGGACCCCTCCGGGCATCAATTTTACACATTGTGACCAAAAATTTTTTTCCAGAGGCTGAGATAGGTTGGCCACAAATGACGTCAGAGTGACGTCATGTTCTGTCATTTTCGACCGAAAAAAGACCTTCGCGAGAAGACCTGTCAGGCCTACAGCTTTGAAGATACAGAAAAATAATCAAGACATAAAAGGTGTAGAATTGACAGGGCTACAAAACTGCTATCTCGGATTTTTGAAATTTTTGAGTTTTGATCCCCAAAAATCAAAAAAGCATTTTTTTGGATATATTAGCCAAAAAATCCAAAAAGTTTTTGAGTTTCGAAAAAAAACGGAATATTTGTGATAGTACTTACCGTCTTCTATCTACATACCAAATTTCAGATCGATATCTTGTTTTTTGGCCAAGTTATAGCGAAAAAACTGTTCAAAAATGATGACGTCAAATTTTCAAACTCAATTTTGGCAATTCTAGAACTCGTAGAGCAAAACAAAGACCACCATTAGACTCCCCGTGACGAGCTGCATCGAATGGATACCCATTTTATGCAAAAATATCAACTTCGAAATTTGACCTAATTTGACCTGACCTTGACCTGACCTTCACCAAAACGTGACCTAGGCTGGCCCCAAAGGCTGCCTAACCCACATAATCGCATTTGTCATGTAAAATGGACCATAAAACATGTATCACACGACACATTCATATTGTGACCCCCGGTGACCTGACCTCGCTGTGACCTGACCTGGTATCAGTGACCTCAGATAGCAAAGAATGTGTTTGACGAACAATATACCATCGATGGTTTTCAATAAATTACCAATTTACTCGATTTCACAGCACATTTCTTGAATTGCCTGTGTTAGGTCAGAGACCGTGTCTTCTTTAGGCTTGTATTCACACTGCCGTATTTGGAGTAACAGTAACAGAATCCGACCCACTGCATTCACACTGCAGCAACAGATCCGACCCGTGTCGCGCCCCTCACCAGACTGCCTCCTCCGGCCGGCGCCGACCCGCCCTGGGTCGCGGCGCCGCGCGGCAGAGGCGCGCCCAGCGGGCTGCAGGCGCGCCCAGCGGGCTGTAGGCCGCCAGTGGCGCGCTCATGCCAAATATGGGGTGGTGAACATTCACCGACACCACACACCTCCCCCCTACATAAATATCGCGACGAAAATCTACTATTCGACACCAAAGCCTCATCTTCTAATACAAAGTTGGCAAATTTCTTAGCCTACTACAAAACAAAACGGTCATGTCCACAGCCAACATGTGTTTCTCGAGGTAACCGCTTAATCGAGCGCCTCGGAGATCGAGTGCGTCGAACGGTTACCTCGGGAAATCCCAAATCCATACGACACATCTCCCACAAGACATATTCACCTGTTCACGCTTACATCAACACATCCTTCAGCTTCCTCTCTACCTTTGTATATCCTTCCCTGCTCAAATGGGTGCCGTCCCTGCCGAACCAGCGACAGGCCACATCCGAACGGTGAAACCTGTGAACGGTGAAAATCTGACCTTTGACCTGACGTGTGACGTCATCGGTTTGACCTAGGTCAATGAAATTTGGCCACAAGGTAGTTCCCGGGTAGGGCTATCAAACGCCGTTTGAATTTTGAAAATCGGCCGGTAACTTTCCGAGATCTTAGGGGGGGGGGCGAAACGCCCCCCCCCCCTACGGGTGGTAGGGTCCGCCGGTAGCCCTACGGGGCGCGGGTTAAAATCTCTTCCAATGACATGGTGTCATGACTTTAGCAACTACATGCAGGCGATCCAGCAGCGGCCACTGTTCCCGGCGGCGGCGGCGTAGCCGACTCAACACAACTCTTGTCCACTACCAGACGAATCCTAACACATTCAGGACAGGTAGTGGAGCACAATCAACAGTCATGGAAACCGAAACTCATATATTCTCTTCACAATATGCGTCCAGACCAGAGCACTGCAAATGAACCTCGCAAAGCCAAACATTCGATCGGCAGGCGGGAAGAACCTAAAAAGTAAGCACATATAGACAGGAAAATGGCCGCAGTTTCCTTGAAGGAGTCCTTTGTCTGCGTGCTTTTCACTGATCCGACAGTGATGACGTCTCTGCCCAGCCGTTCTGGTTAGGCCATACTTTTGCGATTTCGGCAAAAATCAACGCAAATCTATTCAACAATAGTGCGACAAGGAAGTGAATGGCTGAGCAAGGTGGCATTATGGGCTGCTATCGAAAGGGCTGTACTGTTACAATCGACTATTTTGGCTGCGTTTCGGCGTCAAACCGTCGTGTAAAAGTTCATTTTTAACGTTTTCAACTATTCCTATCTATCATCTATACAGAGACCGACCGAGTTATCCTACCCTAGTGTGAGCCTTCCTCAAATAGGTCCGAGCTGAACTCAAGGCCGCAAATGTATGGTGCGAGTGAGGCATGCTGGACTGCATGAGTGAGGTTGTAATAATGTATATGTTTACATAATTTAGTCAATTTCATGCTAACTTCGTAAACTGCTTTAGGGCAACATCATATAGTCAGTCATCTTTTCATGCAAATGAAATTCAGATATACATCATCAGGACTTATTCAGCCTCGTTATTGATCACCACTGTGTGTTCGCCGGTCAACCCCGCTACTCGATTACCAGATAATCGGTGAGGATAGCTCAAATAGTTATAAGGAGCTCCCTAGGGCTCAATCGTGCAATGCATGGTAAGGGAGAATTTGGCTGCCAAAATTTAGCGTGTCCATCAAAGACGGACGCACCATGTCCGACTCAACTGACTTCAACTAGCTGCTGCAGATCCAACCAATCGCAGACCATCCCCGTCGTGAGTCTCTTCCCCGTCAGGTGTCTAAGCATCCAGATGTTCCTACTTCCTACATCCGGAAAAGTAGCTATGCAGTGCAGAAGGGTTACCCATCGCTATTTCCAATATTCCCCGGATGTAAATGCAATTGAACTAGCATTAATCACCGCTAATACACTGATCATTCAGTACGCTAACATAATTGTGTCTCAGAAACCAGCCATGTCAGCTTCGCTCAAATCCATCGTTAGTTTCTCGTCCTACATCCTCATCGACTGGAATTTAGTTATCTAGCTAGATTTTCCCTTCTTTTCATCAATTCCTTAAGTTCAGTAATTGCAATGAGCATCAAAGAGGTCATGCTGACGGTCAACTGTATAATGAGCATCGATCTGGAAATCCAGCATCGTCCTTGTCATTGCCCACCTGAATTTGCCTTGTTCATAAGTGGATGTTGTTAGAACTAGCCAT